AAAAAGAGCCGAGCCGTGCAGCTCGACTAGCTACAGTACGAGCTCGTGGGCCGAGCCGAGCTCGCCCACGAGCAAACAAGCCGAGCACAAGCTCGATTTGTTTTATAACGAGCCACGAGTTCGATCGTGGGCAAATAGCCCAGCCGGCTCGGCTCAGCTCGTTTGCCACCACTAGATTTACCTGAAATTGGTATTTATACTGAAACTTGTAAATAGAAAATAAATCTCTTATCACTTTTCTCTCTGATTCGTTAATCAATCACAGTCAAACCCATGTGCTATACCGATACTGAAAACCATAACATCTTAATGTGACATTTACAAATACGCTCTTACCCCCTTCCGCCCACCGCACCGCACCCCACCCTAACCCACCCCCTCGACTGTCTTTTTCAAGCACTGTCCCATAAGACCTTTCCCTTTCAACGCAGCTGGTAAATAGCAAAGTCTCAACAGCGTAAAAGTAATGAATTTTGCCCATAGATTACTTACATTCTGATGCCCTTTCTCCCATTCTTTTGTGTTTTCTTTTCTTGAATAGTTGACTTGTTGCTTTCAATATTTTTTCTCTAGTTTACTTAAACATCCTTTTTCTCTATACCTTCTGCTATTCTTCAACAGTTACCCTAAACAATTCTCTTTCTCTATCTACAAAATGAAATTTTTTTTTTTTCACTGTTGGCACTTGGCAATTTGGTTCCCCAGCTAGTTGCTTTTAATTAATATTGTCAAGATAAAATGCAGCCATGGCTATGACTTCTTTAATTTTCTTCACCATTTTCACACTTGCAGCCCTTCTCACTCTTCTCTCTCCTTCTTATTGCTTAAATCAAACACAGTCCATATATACTCACAGGGTAAAAAAAAAAAAAAAACTTTTTCTTCTTCTCCTTCTTCTTCTTCTTCCTGCATCTATTCTCTACATGCATGTAAATGTAAATGATGCTTTTGGGGTTTTGTGTGTTGTAGGGTTTGGTGGTGGAGGAAAAAACAAGGCTGGGTTCAATGCCGCCGAGTTGTCACAACAAATGCAACCAGTGCCACCCATGCATGGCGGTGCAAGTGCCTACACTACCGAGTCAAGACCGAGTCCATCCGGGTCAAATCACACCAAAGCCATTAGAGTATTTAGACCCTTCACCATCATCGGCCGGGAACAGGTACGCCAATTACAAGCCACTTGGATGGAAGTGCAGATGTCATGGCAACTTTTACAACCCTTAAATTTTGTTATTAGCAAACGAATTCCGATTCCATATCAAATATTTCATGGGAAAAAATATGAATTATTGTGTATTTTCTTTTTTCTTGAGAGTTGTGTACTGTTGTAGGGCCTCTAAGATTCTTGATGAAAGAGGACATTAATGTGAGGTTCTAGTAGCATTTAGTGTGTGCATTGAATGAAATCTATACAGAGTGTACAGAAATTATTACAGACTTTATCAGACTGTTATTTAATGCTATTTTTTTAAAAAAAATTAATACATTATGTATTTGCTATGCCACGCACGTTAAGTTCTTTTTTTTTTTTTTTCTTTTTTAAATTCCCATCCTCAGTCCTTTCTTATCCTAATATCCTCTCGGGATTTTTCATGACAAGTAACTCTTTCCCTTTGTCCAATTCCGTCGTCAACATTTACTTATGGGTGTCCATGCGCAAAAAATTACCAAAAGCCCTTGATATTGCACATAGTTCTCGATAATCGATCCACTATATATGTTCAAATAAGAAATTAAAATTTTATTTAGGGAAAATTGCAGCAGAGATCCCTAATTTTTCACTTGCAGACTTTACTCTAACATTCACTTTGTGTCATCAACTATACCAAAGTTTTCAAAAATATGTACCTGAGGATTTGACATTTAGTTGATTAGAAAAGTCAAAATTTAACCAATTTTGACCAAATTCGAAAGGGAAAAATGGTATTTGGGAGGTGATTTTGGGCGGTGGCTGAAGGCTAGGGAATGGTGGTGGTTTTGGACGGTGACTGATTAGTTGCTGACGTGGAGGTTGTGCTGGTGCCGACAACTATGAGAAGAAGATGAAATTTGGGTTTGGTTGAGGTGGGGGTTGGATGGGGTGATGAATATTGGTGAAGGGGATGGATTTATTTTTATTTTTTGGTTTTATTTAATGTAAGGAAAATACAAACTATCATTTTGCTCTTTTTAATTTGGTTAAAATTGATTAAATTGGGATTTTTCTGGTAAATGAAGGGTCAAATTCCATCCATTTGGACCCCATGTACATATTTTTGATAGGTTTGGGAATGTATATGGAACAAAGTGAATGCTAGCGTAAAATTTGCAAAAAATGTGAAAGGTTAAGGACCACTGTTACAATTTTCCTTTTTGTTTATCATATACTAGACAATAAGGTATTGTACCAAATATGCACATAAAGTTCTGTCATGCACCAATTTTGAATTATGGGTTAGTTTCAACAAGTCAAGCAATTGTCGAAATGGGAAAATTCAAATAAGCGGATTGAGAGCATGTCAATAATGACACGATCAATGAACAAAACTAAATTTTATCGTGCACAACATTCCTTACGCGAGGAGTAAAATTTGGGTCTATACTCCAAAATTCCTAGTATAAAATCTGTACAAGAAACCGTTTGAATATTATCTAAATGATTTAGGAGTAACGCTCAAACATGTGACATGGGTGATATCATATACATAGACGTGCAACAGTACAATTTATATGGTGTATGGAAAGAGAGGACATTTCCATAATGTCTCTTCAATACACCTTGTACGAGTGGTTGGTAGCCTTTCCGCGTCCTTCCACAATAAGGGCCTTGTTCTTACCTTACAAGTGGTCTGAGTACAAACATCACAAGGAATTGGAGCGACTCGTTTCTTGTTGGCAGGACGACAACTAGTGACTTGGTAAAAGATGATATGCTAAGACGATACAAAAAGGCACAGGCACTAGAGATTATACGAAAGTTCTCAGGTTAGATATGTAAAGAAGCCGACTCAACGCTATATTGTCAAGTATTTCTGGAAGAACATCATGGATTAAGAAGAGCTTAACTTAGTATTAGCACAAAATTTATACTCCAGAACAACATAGTTTGTTCGAAAATCCAAGTATATGACCACAGTATAAATTGTATATCACTCGAGACTTAGAAATTTAAGAGATGTCATTTCATTTATACAAAATCCCAACCAGTCTCTAATTCTACAAATTTTAATGGAATTATGTCAAATTCTCACTAAAAGGCCTTCTAGTCATGCTAACGCATGGTAGCTCCTTGTCGTGACTAGAGCTATAATATTCTCAAAAAAGCTATTTGTGCAAAAAGAATTTGACAAAAATGTTGACAACCCCTCACATGATTGCCGGCCCCACGTGAATAAAAAATTGAAAATAAAAAGTGGGCCCCCCACATGTGAGGGTTTGTCAACATTTTTGTACAAATTCTTTTGTACAAGTAGCAAGGTTC